CCCAAGTCGTATTTCACCGGAAGTTTTGAGCTGAAATCTGATAGCAGTCGAAAACAAACTTTTCCTTCAAAAATCGTGTCTTCGCCCAGAGATGTCTTGAAAATTCGCCATTTATCCTAGCGTGTGCTTGAACATTTTTTCAGCTAGAAATAAGGAAAAAAATGAATGGGGTGAAATGGCAAACTTCGCCCCCTAAACACCCTGGCTCCTCCCCACACACGTCATCATCATATAGCTCATACATACAGAAGTACGATCGTGTATTTGTAAACTTTGAAGGTGCCCCAGTTTTCGAGAACGCTGATGTTTAGGGTAAAAACGGTAAATAGTTATGGGACACACTAATAGTTTGTTCCCGGCGGAGTGCATTTTAACCGCCAACTCCACTTGCGCGTCTCAGTGGTGAATGCTTCAGTTCTGAAATCCACTTTTCCGAACAAATTATACTACAAACAGTGGAGTAGTTTGGAGTATCAAACAATTATTTGAATTGCATGCTCCAGCTGCGAACTGAGAAGTGTAAGATTTGTTTATAACCAGTAAAGTGGACTATGGACATACGCCTGGTACTGTATGAATGCAGATCAAAAAGCAGAGTTACAATTCCTTCTCCTAACGAGCATAAATGTAATTTGTAAGTGGGTTAGGCTTAGTAATGATCAGACAAGTAGGCTCTCTCTTTCTAGCAATACATGACTTCAGTTCCACCGTTTCTTAGCATAAAGTCGATGAACTACGGGACTACCTCCTCTAATAGTTTTTCCTTTCTAGACCTCACTTTCACTAGCCAATAAAATTTACTTTCTACAAGTCCGGCATCTAAGCCATTCATGCGGGGAGAAATTAACCTAAAAACTGAGTCGAAGTTCATTAGCGATACTACGTGATGAATTCTTAGAAGATTTTGTCTCATCTATTCTGACCTTGTCCATGGTATATTCTGATGAGCATCGCTTGTTATGTGATTGGGATGTGGAATTCAACTTGAAAATGCGCATTTACGGAGCAAACCTTATCAGGAATCTGAAGAATATTATGGGATCAAAGGGTCTCACATGTAAATTTCGCAACTTTTCAAAAATGATTTCAGAAAATTTTGAGGCGCTCAAGAGGGGGAAAATCGCTGGGGGCGTACTCGTCCGGCATTTCGAACGACTTCGATCCGTTTTTGCTAATCTTGACAATGCGATGTAAAGTGCAGCGAAGAATAGAAAGCTCAGTGATGCGAACATCTTAATCCGCGATCATCAATCTCGCTTCGTCGCCGCGTGAGGTAACGAGTTTTTTGTTGTGCGCGCCGAAAGGAGTAAGCGTTCTCCGAAGGACTGCGGCTAGTGTTCCATTATACGTCCAGTCGCTAAGCAACCCCAGCAAAAATGCTGCTCATCTCGAGATTATCGCTTGCTCATTCTCCTTGTTTACAAATTGCTCACGTGCTACGAAATTCTGCAGAATTGGTTTGCTATTTCAGTTCGTAGGTGCAAAATTTGCTTACCATCATTTCATTGGTTAACATCTAGGTCATGCGACAAATTTTTTGTCCTAGAAATTTCCAATTCTTGTTTTGTTATATTCCACAGAAAGCAAAACGTGCTCTATGTTAGGTTGATCTTATAAGTTTGGCATTAAAAATTTGAAATTTACTATCTTTTCCAGCTTCAGTAAAAACTTTTGCTGTGATACACGTTAGATAGAAAAAACTTTGCACCTTTCGAAAGTACTCTAAGTAAAACATTTATTTCCATATCGCAATGAAGCAAAGTGATAAAAAAATAACCCAAAATATGTTTTTTTTTGAATTTCGCGCGCCTTCAATAGCAATACGTTTACTAAAATTCTGATTTTAGTTTTGCTTGTAGTTTTATGACATGATTTTTCTATATGAAGGGATTCCACGCCGATTGGGCGTTTCTACAAATAGATATGAATTTCGTATTTTTTAAAATTTTACTTTTTGCTTCCAAGTCGAAAATTTTTTTAATATTTATATTGAGATACAACTTCTGATATGTATACAAGAGGTAGAAGACGTGCTTTGAAAAGATTATCTGAACATTTTTAATTGAATTTTTTTTTGATTTTTGGTGCATTACAAGTAATCAACCCAACAGTAATGCATAGAGCACCTACCATAGTTTGTATCACCATTGAACACAGTGGCGATACAAGCTGAATGTGAAACACTCTTGTAGTGCTTCAAAAAATTTGACCTTCAGAAACGCCACAGTGAATATAAATTTTATATCAAGTTGGGTTTTGATTTTGTATACACATTTTCTTATTATAATTCGTGATGATCGGATTCGATGAAAACAACTTTGGTTCTTTTTCAAATCAGTTTTCTAATCTGTCTATTATAGCTTTATCCTACTACAACATTCTTCGTTTTAAACAGTCTTGGAACATTTGCTTGTATCATTTGGTGCAAGACTGTCGTATGTGTTCAATACCACAAGCTCAATTTTTCAACTTCTCTATGCCTGTCTTTTGATTGCGCGCAATTCCAAATTTCCTCAAAATTTCCCAAATTTTCGTTGACCTCTATATGATGTTCCGTGTTCGATTTTCGATGAATCTTGACATATCGATTAAGGTACTTCAGTGATTCTTAGGAATTTTTGTTGACCTCATTATGAATTATAATATTTCAACATAAATACCTTAAATCTTCAGTAATTTTTGAGCATTTTTTATTGACTTCATCATGAATTACAATCAATTACATCAAATCATAGATACATCAAATCTTCAATGATTTTTAGGCAATTTTTGTTGAACTCATTTTGAAATATACTATTTCAACATAATTACATCAAATCCGCTGCTACTAACATATTCTTCTTGTTCTGATGATGAAGCAGCACATTCTCTTCAATGCAAGCTTTCTATAGATCTCCTCACTTTTACTTGATAATTAGTATTTACTCTATGGTATAATATGGCGCAGAAATGAGATGGTTTTTATGATACTGTTAGGATAATGCAGTGCTAACTTTTGTAAGTCTATCGTTCAGCATTGATTAGTTCACGATAACCATTACCATTGAGTTGCTTCTCTTTCTTCTCAAATCTATGGAAGTTTTCGTATGGTTATTATGTCGAATCTCATTCTCGCAGATATTCTCAAATAATTTAAAGGACCATTTTCTCATGATTCATCCAGCTGATTACAGTGATGGAAGCATAGATTCATGTGCTACTTTTGAAACTGTTCTCCGTGTATTCAGGATCAAACAAGCTATTGTAGAGTTCATCCTCAGAGCGTGACTCATTGAACGTGTAGTGTCATTGGGATTCGCAGCTACTCTTGAGGGGAGAAATTTCGCGAATTTACATCTGTTGTTACATAGCTCTTGTCGGAGCATGTAGCTGTCATAAACGCGATTAAAAGTGTTTCTCACTGAACTTTCTACGTCGTCGTATGAAATGAATTTCTCCTAAAAACATTATCAGACTCTAGCCGTGAGTCAGACGCTCAAGAAGTTCTTTTCACTAAATCAGCTCAATTATGACACTTCTACTATCGTGAAATGCTTCTCACAATGCAGCAAGCACCAACTGCATAATTTGAAATCAGCTATTCTCGAGCGATCCTTCAGCATATACTCGTACTTTCCTAAATTGATTTTCTTTCTCTAAACTTTTATCTCATTTCCACAAACTCAACTCTACGCGATGTACCATTTTCAGAAAAAGATACTCATACAAAATGAATTGACGCAAACTCCGAAAAAGTTACGCGAAGGCGGTTAAAAGAATCAGCTAGGACAAATGCTTTTCTGAAGTATGAACATTTTTTTCAGAGACAAAAAGTTAATCGTTTCATAGTCTCTTTTATAGGGAACGTAGTAACGCCCTCGAGTCCATTATCTCTAATATTATTTTTCGTTACAGTATATTGGATCAGTTGACCAAGCGTCTTCTATTCGCTCTCTCCACCATCTCAATATACATCACCGCTCAAAATCTGCGAAAATAGATGTGATTGTCATTGGAGATTTCGAATCGCCAAATGTCGATTCAGAGTTGACCGATTTTGAATATAAGGGCACCATTTTACTTAAGCTCGACACCGCGTATCTCCTGATCATTGCTCGGCAGTAGGTGCCTAGTTGAAAACGCAAAAAACGAACTTCCCCCTGACTTTTGCGATTTTTTACGGAGTTCCTTTTGACCCCAGACCATAATCGTTATAAAATCTCCAAAAAACGAAACTCGATTGGAAAAGAAAACGTCGCCAATTTTGTGTCTTTCAGGCCACAAAAGCCAAACTTTTGTTTTTGTCCCAAAAACGATATCCAGCTTGCTTACAAGCCACCTGTGCCGAGCCCTGCTCCAGATGTATCAAAGTGCTTGCCTGCGTACGGTAGCTGTACGGTAGGCACTCAATTTCTAGATGCAGCTAATGAATGTAAGTGTTCTAATCGCTCGAGTAGCCCATGAACATAATTTGAAATCATGGGATCTGACCGCCTACCATGCACCTACCGTACCCAGGCAGGCTCTTTAAATATCAACATGCGCGATAGAGCTGATAAATCCAGTCTAATCCGAAACGATATGACGCAAATGTCGCGAACTCCGGTGACAACTGCCTCTTTTTCCTTCACATATGAGCGGTAACGTAGGTTCTCACAAAAGTCTCTTGTCTGAACGGTTTCTCATGAGTAGAATGCGACAAACATCTTTTAACTTTTTGCTCATCTATAGCGGTTTTATGACAATGATGCTTTGTACATATAATTCCTGTGAACGATTGAATCATACATTCTATGAGTGAAACATTAAAGCGCATTACTCCAATAGTCATGCGCTCTAAATACTTTCTATTGCAAGGCTCCACTTAATGCACTCTTTCGGCATTCGCGAGTTTTATGATGTAGATTCGTTAGACATACTTGACAGCGAATTTCTTCATATTCCATATCCTATAGTCTCTCACGTCGTTATTTCGTTCACCTTCTCTTAAACCAACTCTCTTCGAGATTGCAAGCCATTCAGGTAACAATGACAGTTCGAATATCGACCTTCGTGCTATGGATATGGCTGCCAGCCGTAACTCTTGGAGGTTAGTGACTGTTTTTTGAACTGAACGCAACTTTTTCGTCATTGTCGAAGCAGAAGAGAAGAGATGAGGACGCTCCGCCCCTTTCTCCATGCTCCTTCTTTAGTTCCCTTCGAAGGAGTAGGATAGCTACACTTTGTAAGATCTAATGAATATTCGATCTCTAGAAGTGTCTATACGCTTTTCCGGTAGTTTCTACAGCAACACAAGAAGAGCTCAAATGTCTTGATTCTGTGTGAGACCAGAATGTTTTCCGCGACATGTTTTCAAAATTCTACACTGTTTACTTGCAAATCTTGAGAAGATTGCTACTCCAACCTCAACTGTATTTCACTCTGCTTTGATGAAACCAACACTTGTCTTCTATAGGTCCAAAGACATCTCATTTTACTGATATTCTAGCTTATAGAGATGTCACAAGAGAAGCTTCTGGATGCCAATTCATCAGAGGAGCAAGCCGAACATGCTTCTGATTTGTTTCACATCGACTTTAGTCATACCGGACATCCACTGGCTATCCTTACCTCAATTCTCCTGATTTCACTCATGAGAATAGGTAAGGTTTTCTTTTAATTCTTCTTTAGTTCTCGAAGAAGAGTAACTGTTTTGAGCCGTAGATTATTCGAGGTATACCTCAGCTCAAGGTTCATGCACCTGTCAAAGAACTTCTGGCCTTTTTCATCTGCACATCAATTTCAGTTCTTGCACGATTTCAAACCGTACCACATTCGGTGCTACTGTTAGGATTCGGTATTGCTATGGGTTTTTTCTTGTCACTTATTTTTGAAGATGAGGCAAGTCTTTCATACCTTGAATCTGAACGAATTCTAAGAAGTCGACTTTCAGATCTATTTGCGACCATCTTGGTTCTTCATCTATCTACTGCCTCTTATTGTACTTGAAACTGGTTATTTTCTAAAGAACAAGCAATTTTTTCGAAATATCGGAACTATCTGCACCTATGCTGTTGTTGGAACCTTATTCAACACTGTTTGCATAGGTAGTCGAGCTTTTTTATTTTGAAGCACAAATCTACACTGTGGCTCCTTCCTTGCAGCTGTGATGTTGTTCTTGCTACGAGACGCCTTCTCCATTCGTTTGAATTTCCTCGAAATCGCCGTTTTTGCCACGCTCATCTGTGCTGTCGATCCAGTCGCAGTACTGTGCGTGTTCGAAGACATCCATGTGAATGAACTGCTTTATATTTGTGTATTCGGCGAAAGTCTCTTGAATGATGCCGTCACTATAGTGAGTTCTCAGAAATACTTGCTTTTCTATTCCCGAGAATCTTGAAGATTGGCGTGATGCGAGATTGAGTTGAGCCAGCTTAGTTCATCACTTAGATTATCAGAGCTGGCTAAGACGACAGACCGTAATCATTCTTATATGCCTGAGAAAAAGCTGATTACTTACATTGCTTTGGTGTCTCACTTACGTATACCCTTCACTGAAGTTGTAAAGCATGCTTGAAAAAAAAAGATCTGTGTTTTTGGGTCTCTTACATCACTAAGCTGTTCTTTAGCATCAGAGGGTGTAGAGCTTGCTTCCTTTAGATATGCTAAAAATCTATATCTTTGCACATTTCCCTCTATAGTTTTTGGGTATCGTATCCTACACTCGGCTCTGTGGAATACACTAGAACAAGAGGATAGCAGAAACTATAACTTAAAAAGATCTTCGTACATCGTTGAGCGTATACAGTCTTTTTGCCATAGCAAATTGAATTAGAAATCTGTTTCAGGGGTGCTTTATGTGTTCGCTTTTTCTTTCATATTTCATCCCCCGACATAAACAACCTAACCTAGCTACAGGTTTTAGTAAAAGTGCATTAAGCATCTTTCACTGGTAGCTACAAGAATGAATGAGAGAAATATGAGCATGAGAAACCCAGTGTTTCTTTCCTGCTGTAGGGCTATGCGTGCTGAAGATTTCTGTGGACAAATCATAATTATTAACATAAAGGCGACCTGTTTGGATGCTTCTTCACCATGTAAGACTTAGATCTTGTCCTTAAATCCTGTATATTCAAGAGAACCTCGCAAATTGTAGAAATCTCACCCTTATAATTGCTGTTGTGCTTATCGAAAGTCTAAAGTTAAACCGTAGCTAATTGTGATCCCCTAAGTCTTAGCCTGCAGGCTAAGAGAAAATACTTTGAAGTATTACTGTAACAAAAAAATTTCATGTAAAACTTTGCGTCTCTGGACGCAGTTTGCTACAAGAATTTGAAGTGCTTTATGTGGTAAGCCAGACATGCCTCGATAATGTTTATCAAACGGTTTTATGCATCCAAGCTATTTGTTCAAGTTAAAGTGCCGTTACTTTAGGTTCTATATCAAACAATCACCAATATCTTAATTAGTGGTCCAGAACGGCTTGGCACAGCTATGTATATCCGATCAGTCGCCCAGTTTGGTACTGTAGCTTTTGGCGGTACCACCCTCGGTATTCTTGGAGGGTTATGTACTGCTTTGGTTATGAGGTAAATAAGACATGCCATGGGAATTTCTCCTCTCATTTGTTGATATTGAGATCAATTTATTGCAGGCTACTGGCAAATCACCAGTCTGTCCTTCCATTGATGATGGTTTTGATGCCGTATTTCTTTTACTTGCTAACCGACTCATTCCATCTCTCTGGAATCTTAGCGTAAGGCGCTATAAACGAGTATCCTGGCAGATCTTGGAACTTGGGTCTATGTGGATACTGATAAAAAGCCCTAAATTATTGTCTGAGCGGCTCCTCATGTGATTATTAATTCGTGACCGAGCGGACCAATCAGGCTGCCCCAGTGCAGTAGTAGGTACGGTCTGGGCTGGAACGCAGAAGTGGATTTCTCGTACGTGAATGAATCATATGAACTCCCACTTGGGTTTTGGCTTAGCTAAGGTCCCTCAGTCATTTCCACTTAGGCCCTACTGTCCCGATTTGCTAGGATATTCTTTTTAATAATACTCTATCTCTTTGAACTCGATATGGCAGTCCTATTTCAGCATTGTTACTTGTGGAATCCTGGTCAAAAATTATATGCGTGGCAATCTCTGTGACGAGATGCACTTCACTGTCGAGTATATCTACAAAATGGCTTCTTCTTAGTGAGTTGTTTTTAACTGTCACCAGCTGCAATTTCTGTGCCTGTTTGCCCATCTGTGCCACCACTGATGTGAAAAGCTGTTTTCCGCAATCACAGTGATGTTGAACTCCAAATGACCAAAAGCATTCTCGTGAAGCGAGCACCCCTGCACGAAGCTTAAGGCAAGAGTAATTTCATAGATGCTGTTTCAGCTCGGAAAGCTTTATCTTTGTGTTCCTTGGAGTGTCTGTTGTGTCGTCGAATCACGTGTTTGATTGGTGGTTTATCATCTCGACGCTGATTGGCTGCTTCGTGTTTCGGTTCATAGGTAACCTTTTCTCAATGAATTGTAGCATGAAAAAGCGGACCTGAATTTGAAGACTTCTTTGGTACAATCAGGAGAATTGAGCCCATATATACACATTTGACAAGATTTTTAAAGTCGAAAGTTAAAGTCGTCAGGGTCGCCTAAAAAATTTTGCGAATGTAAAAAGAAAACGGCGCGAGGGTCATATTGCTAAAAATCAAAAACAGGCCCAATGTGCATCTGTTGTGGATACATATAATGTCTACTCATGCAAGTAGGGTAAATGATCAAGAAATACAGGGGTAATTGTGCATGCGCACCTTTTTGAACAAAAAGATTGATAAGGTGCTTTCTGTTTCTTGACGTCAGAACATATCAAACCCTTTCGACCCAAGTCGCTTTCTACGCTTGTCGCAAAATTGCTGATGCGCATGACCAATCTTTTCGAACAATTGTGTTTTATGGAATATAAAACCTATACTTGTATTTCACCAATACAAATATCACAATGGATGTGGGGACAGTCACCATTCTATGATAGTCTGATGATATCAGCGCCGGCTGGTAGCATGACCTTGTAATTTCGGATCGAGGAGTAATACTTACCAAATGTCTCGGTGAATTGCTTTGCATAACTTTCCCGGGTTTTGAAATATTCTGGAATTTGCCTCTAAGTGTTTGGACGTCAATATCGAGGCGTTTTTTTAGTGGAATGGGGTGTGCCAGAATAAGTGGCGTCAACTTTTGCACCACTGCCAAACCTCTGATTATGAGACTTGAGCTCAGATTTATGTCATATAATGCTCCTATCAAACTCTACTAAATACCTTCTTCAGAATTCAAAAAGACCTTTATCAAAGAATGTGGGAAATGATTGAATGAAATTAGTGGTTTTGAAAAAGCTGAAATGAGATTAATATTCCTCTATATGTTTCACATCACAAAGCACACTTTGCACTATCGTAAATTTCTATTTGCATTCGCAAGAATTCGTTCACTTAAAAAATATGAAAACCTTTTTGCAAAGGGACCAGATAGGGTGGACCATTATGCAATTACCCTAAGATAAAGATTGGTGGGTATGTAAGCAACGAGTACACGAAAAAGAACAATATTACCTATGAGGACCCAACATTTTCTGACTACAATATTTTCTTAGAAAACATTTTGTTTGCAACTTCTCTGTGCGCGAGTGATTATTTGCACATGAAAATTTTTCCCAATTTTAACAGCACTGTTCAGGCGTTTACCTATTGACATTCTTTCTCAACAAATTTCGTTATGAAGACGAACGCATATCTTGGGTCGACCAATTTGTGATGGCTTATGGTGGTATCCGAGGAGCCGTTTGTTACGGTATGCTTTACGTCTTATCAGCTAGTACAGTCCATCAGCTGAACCATATGAACTTAATGATAGTGTTTAAACAGCTTTCAGTCAGTGCCAGCTGTCTCAACCGCTCCAAGCTTTCCCTATTCTATTTTGATAATCAAAATCTCCGCTGCTGCTCGTTCGACTGAAGATTTCGCGCCATCAGTTTTGTGAAGTCTAAACAGCATTAAATGACCGGAAGTTGATCTTTCAAAAGCAGCTATGGAAGCTTTGTTTCAATATCCTAGAGTCTATTGTAGTACAGATAGTTAAAGCTTGATCAATACAGTTTTTTAGTCAAAGCTGCGTTTGGAAGCCTTAACTCAAGGCTCATCACCGCTTGAACAAATTGCTTGCATTTGCGATAGATTTTACTGTAGTAGAACACTAGCATTTACTACTATAAGTTAGACATCATAAGCTGATAAACTTTTTATCAACTCGGGCTACTATTGTGATGCTTGAGTTTTCAGGTCTTGTTATGTCAATAGATGAGAATCTTATCCCTGCAAAGAAAATGTTTGTGACCACAACGTTGGCTGTCATTATGTTCACCACCGTAGTACAAGTAAGTTGGCATGCCATAACTTCCTTCAAAATAATTTATTTTTGAGATTTTGGATTGAAGACAGAGATTTAGGGTACGACAATCAAATGCATAGTCAACCTATTAAAAGTGAAGAGAAGTAAGATGTTTGGCAAACCTGAGGAGAAGAAGCGCGTATTTGATTACATCCAGAATGAAATGAACAAACACGTGATTGAATTTGTTGAGAACTTGACAAATGTCCATGGAGAAAATTTGGTACGCTTCCGTCTCCACCGGCCTTCCCTAACCTACCTAAGCGCTGTGTTTCAGTTGTACCGAAAAATTCTGGAGCTCGACCAAACCGTGTTGAAGCCGCGGCTTGTCGCATACTACAGACCACGTACAGCGAACATAATCGATCGCCACATGGAGATTGAACTCAATGAGTTCGCAATGTCCGTAAAGAAAGGTATGTAAGGGCACATCGGGGTACATTTACGGATGATATCATCTTTATATAATTTTTTGTGGCCCAGCGTTCAAAGCTCTTTCCCGCATGTAGGCTGATGCGCATATCAGATGGGCGCACGCGGGGACGGCGCGCGAGCGGATATTGTCTGTAAGTGATCAAACCTGCCGGCTTCAGTGATGATGTGTGCTCAATTGCCCTACAGGCGCCCTTTTCGCTAAAAAGCATCCGTTTTGATCCTAGTCTAGGATTTGATTACTTGTCTCCACCTCAGTTCTGAACGATGATTTGTAAAGAATGGAGTCGTAGTCTAACGTAAGAAGCAGTTGCTTTTCGTATCACCTTGTTGTTTTGTCACTCACATGATTGAGAAGGAAATTGTTGATTCTGAGACAGTTATCCGCAGACGCTGGGTTAGAGGAACCAGTAAGCTTCATGCGCCGTCTGTGGACTAGTGTTCTCAATGCGGCACGCAATACCATGTGCGAAAGGGTCAGAAGCCCGAGCCTACGCCTACTGGCAAAATCCGTTCCTCAAAGGCAGTGGCTCGAAGAGATTGCAGTTGCGAGCTTTCCATCCCCACTTGGCCTTCTGGATGTGCTGAGTCTAGGGCTGTGTTCAAAAAGTCAAAAGTGCTTTCCATGGCTTTTTCCGGTCTTGGAGATTGTGGAGGAGATGGATGAGCGATCGCTAAGTGTGTCGCGATTGGCTGCCGGAGCCGATCAGCCAGTTTCCGTCAAAATGGATGTAGTTGCAGTTTCCTGCAGCCAGTCCCTGTTTCTGGCGGGAATCGCTCGCCCAGTCCCCTCAGCAATCTCCAAGCGAAAAGAAAAGTTATAAAGCACCTTTTTGAACTTCTAATAAGGGAAGGAAAGTTAGTCGAAGTGGCCTTTTGAAATGAAGTGTATACTGCCTTGTAGAGCTTGGAACGCTGATTCCAAATCTACCTTTGCTATCTGCTGCGGGCTTCTGGGCGACGAGTTATGAAGGTTTTTGTGAGTAAAAATCTAAATGCAAAAATAGGGTAAAATCAACCTTTTCTCAATGTTCAAATACAGCAGCGAATTGGTATATTTGAATCAAGAATATTTGTTACAACGAGTGACCCGACTATCAATTAAGGCCTATAAAAAATGTTACGACTGATTTTAGCCTACTCTTGCATTCAGACTTTTACTCATAAAAACCTTCATAACTCGTCGCCCAGAAGCCCACAGCAGATAGCAAAGGTAGATTTGGAATCAGCGTTCCAAGCTCTACAAGGCAGTTTACATCCCATTTCAAAAAGCCACTTCGACCAACCTTCCTTCCCTTGTAAGTACAGTCCCGGACTCAGCGGATCCAGAAGGCTATGTAGATGTGAAAAGCTCGCAGTCCCAACCTTTTCGTCACGCTGTCGATGGCTCACAAGTCCTCTTGTGAAGGTTTTTGCGTTTTCAGGAACTGGATCATTTTCTGGATTTCCTACGAATGCGTCTGTTAGTGAAATCAATCTTCCGACATCGAAAAGCGAATTGTTTGCTGCTGGATTCGATCAAAAGTTTGTGTTACACTTCGAATATGGTCCCTGCTGCTACTTTATGCAATTTCCTTCTTTCTAGTTCTCTCGTTTGTCCAAGTGCGCCTGCCGTGTCGGTGCCAACTCCAACTAAACCTCCACCGGCACTGGAGCCTCCTACGATTGGCATCCCTAGGAATGCTTCTGTGACTGGGCTAGTTGCCAAAGTGTTCGAGACCAGCGAACAACAGAGAAATCTTGCCCGTGGAAAGGTAGCACTTTACTAAATATAAGAGCCTGTCTTAAGTTCTATATGTCTTCAAACTAAAAATTTTAAGAATCGACGCACCATCTACAGTCGTCACCTTCTTGAGAGAGTACCTGCGTCACCAACTCCACCTTTGGTGAGTTTTTTCATACAAACCAGAGTAGAAGAGCTGCTGATCCTCACGCGGTATGCAATAACATGTGCCAAAGGACCAGTAGTCCGCAGAGGCGGCGCAGTTGGCAAACTCGTTTATACGTTCTTCTGATTGAACATGGGTTATAGGTCACGCTTGGGAAAAGTCAAAGCTGTGAAACTAGTCACCAAATTCTTTTTATTTCAGACAGAAGATGATATGTCATATGTGATGACTCTCCCTTGTGGAAAGAATCCTCGATTAGCTGCCAACATTCGGCAGTTCAGTAAATCACTAAAGGGTAATTTTTTGTCATTTTCAGCGAACTGGATAGTATTAGTTCTCATTGTTTAGAGCAGAATCGATTCCGAGCAAATGCAACTGGTCGTCCGATAACGTTGCGTACTCAGAGCGTTGAAGATGAGAGCTCTCCTCGTTCTACGGACCCTCGTAGGTTTTGATTTAGTTTCTGCTTGAGTGAGGGGCCCTTTTAAGCCACTCGCACACTATTTCTATTTGAAGCATGCAGCGTCGCCAAGAAGTGTACAGCATTACAATGGAAAGATGTATCGTTTACAGCGTGTGAGATATCGCTACTTGAAACTTTAATTTCATTAGAACCAATCATTGGGTCAAACAAAACAAATGCATCAAAGTGAAGTAGCATGCTCGCGCACACAATTCGTTGCTCCGCCCTGTTAAAAGCGTGGCCAATCACAGTCGACGTGATGAGAGCACGTTGACTGTGATTGGCCGCGCCGAATCTCCCGGCGAACTTGTTGATCGCGCGACTAAGGCGAGCGGTTCAAAGAGACTCCTTTCATCCCTCAATTTTGCTTACTTTTTCTGGTTGTGGCTTCTTCAATATGATTATTTCAGCCCCTAGTCGGCCACCAATACCTTTCCGATTCACTGTTGAAGATGAGGATTCGCCACCTCCGGCCACAACGGTGACGAACAGAAGTAAGCCTACACTGTTACAAAACTTACTTAGATAAATAATTGGACTATCTAACTTCAGAAAAGAATGAAAGAACAGTTGTCGGAAGCAATAAAACCTTCACCATAGGGGGAGAAGAGACTCGAGGGCTGCTTCCAATTCACGAGGACGAAAAGGAGTCCTTGCACGACATACCATAAACACATCTGCCTAGAAAATAGTATATATTGAATATAAGTCAAAACACTTGTGAAGAAACGGTTATTTGGATGTTTGAGCATCACACTGAGGATCGAAGGCTATTTTGGAAGATGATGTTATGAGATATTGTGATGATGACATAAGTGCATTTATGTGCGAGCGTTTCACTTCCTTATGTACCACGTATAATATAATTGTTTGGTTTACTCGCCTTGAACTCTAACATATATCCTTTTGGCGATCTCATGTGAATTGTTGTTATCATTTGCCGAATGGCAATATAAAGTGCTCCATAATACGGTAACAATAGTGTATTCACTTACGATGTTGGTAATAAAGTGCTCATATTACTGTCCAAAGCTTTGAGATATGGAAGGAAATGAGAAGACAAGATCATAAAGGATCATTATTTTGCCGGAATCTCAGCGATTTCTCTCAGAAAACGCAGCTACAAAAGATCTCCAAAGAATTTCGCAGATGGAGGACAACCGAAGACCAGACACTTTTTGTCAATGACAACTCTATAAACTCAGAGCCATTACTCAAAGGCAGCATTCAGGCAAATCTGGGCCCATGGGGTTTTCGCCTAGGTACTGATGAGGGGGTCCTAACTAAGGTGCTGCCCAAGCAGCAGCGCAAATGATTTCTTTACGGCTGGGAAATCCGTCCCAAACCCCTCCGCGCCTGCCCCGTGACCGTAACTTGGAAAAGACTTCGCTCACTTTAACACTACGTTCGCGCTGGAACCCGTCCCAAGTCCCTCGCGAGTTACTGTCATAGCATAAGGGCAGAGTGTTTGGGGACGGATTTCTCAGTTGTGAATGAATCATTTGTGCTGCCGTTCAGACTGCCTTAGTTAGGACCCCCTCATCAATTTTCAGGCAAAAAACCCTCGTGCTCAGGTTTGGCTGGACATTGTCTTTAAGAAAAAGCATAGTCTCTCCTAGTAGAACAGTAAATTTGCACTACAAGGGGCCTTTGAATATTTTGTGAAATTTTTCTTGACCAATTATTGGTTCTTTTGGTGTTCTTTTTTCGTCATATGCAAAATAGGACATCATATGGATAGCTTTTTCTTGATTCCCCCTCGATGAATATTAAAGCGGCGAATTGTCCGGATACACAGTTTCTTGAGTGTTTACGTAACTGTTCTACGTGTTCTTATTGCACTTCATGGTTTAGGCGAATTATTGCTTCGTAAATCTACTAAACAAGGTCTAACCTATGAGGGATATGCACCATCATTAGTTCAAACAGTTTTTCTGCCGGTTGTCTGTAAAGATGTGGGCTTTCAATGCAAATTTTTCGTCCAGTCAAAAATTCTCCTCTTACCACTATCTTATGCTGTCAGTCAGTAAACTTCCTTACTCAAGAGGGCAAGGGCACATCTTACAGGGTGCTGATAATGAAGCTGCTCTCACAAGGCCAAGTAATCTTATTATCCGGCCCTCCTCAAACGCGATTGCTCCTGAATATGGAGATAAACAAAAAGGTCAACAGAAGTGAACCGCGGCTGGGTCCTGTATCTGATCCTGTAATATGTGCAATTGCACACATTAGCAAGAAAGTCTATAAGCTCCTGCAAGACGAAGGCGGTCGGTTCGATGTGCAACGCGGCTGCGACAGAGCTGCGTCACAGCCGCGTCACAGCCGCGTCACAACCACGTCACACATCAAACCGACCGCCTTCGTCTTGCAGGAGCTTATACCTGACTTCGAACTGGACAGCTCGTGGCATTGCAGAGCTCTAAATAAATCCGCTCACTAAATGCTCCAAGACGAGGATGGACGTATGCAACCTTTTATTCATCTTAAGAATTATTCCTCTAGAACAGTTTAAGCCTGTCGGTTCCATTTATCTTTGCACTTGTTTCGCTTATGCACATTCTTCTTTTGTGTTCTTTGATTCACCTGGTTAGCGCTTTGAAATGGTTCCCCCAGCTTCGAAATGGCTTCTTTGTCAACTATGATGAAGAGCTGGTGACAAAATGTTTAGTCATCCGTCACATGAGCGATGTCTCATAAAAGGTAAGATAAATGTCAAATGATTTTTTTTGAGTTCTGCAGTCCTCTTTTTGTTTTTGAGTAATATCTGTCATCCTCATCCATATCAATCGTAATGATCAGATGAATGAGATCAGTGCCTTCAGACGAAAAGAGTCGTTCGTCCTTTTGAGACGGTAAATTGTCTTCTAAACTAGATAACGTGACTGTAAAAGGCCTTCGGCAGGCGAGCACGGTCCAAGAGAAGGACCCAACCATTCCTATGACCATCACGTCGGTGAATTTCATTGCCGCTTTCAAATCTCCAACCATTCTCAGATCTCTTTTATGAGAAGCTCTGTGACACCTTTTTTTCGTATAGAAAGACATCATGTTCCCCATAGCATTTGGGATTAAAGCAAACTTTTAATACAGAACTGATTTTTGTTTCAGTGTTGGTTTTGTTCTGATAATCGAGAAATCATCTTCACATGATCATCTCTCCGTCACTGACCCAACGTATCAAAATTTGTATGGTGTCCTCTATAAAAATTGACATGAAGGATAGATGGGCTACGTTTTTAACAGTGGCGTGCCCAGGGGCGGTGGGGGAGGGGGGACAAAAACTTTTTTCGAATAAAGGTGCGTGGCGCCAAGCACTCTGCAAATTTTTTTGGGATGAAATATTTTGCTAGCTTATGACTCCGAAATCCTAGAAGAAATTTTTACAAGGCTGATTTGAATTTTTAGAAGTTTTTAAAAATTATTCAATATTTACAAGGATAAACATATCATTTCACATTTCTATCACCCATGTAAGTAACTTTCAAAAATTTCGCGACCCTTTTTTTGGGGGGGGGGGGGGGAGACACCTTCCCGTGGCACGCCACTGGTTCTTGGTATGGAGCTGAGCCGCAAAAAACTCTGCAGAGTAAAATCTGGGTTAAATGTGTTTATGGCGGTCTTAGTCCATGCGCACGAATAAAGCGCTTCATGATTGACCCCACAAAACCGTATTTCTGACTAGGCCTACTGTAAATTCAGAATTTTTTTAGTGGAAGCAGTGGTTGGCAGTTTGTCGCACATCATAAACTCTTGGAGTTCGGGACTTTGACTGAAGGAATGCAGCAAAGCTCTTCGATGCCAAAAAATTGCTTTTTTGTCGCACTGGAGCATACAAACTGCTGGGTATACGGTAAGCGATGATAAGCATCAAAAACGGTGACTCAAAAACCGTCTTTTCTGACATCATCAAAAGATGAAAGGTAAAGTCGTGTAGCACAATCGCGAGATATATAATATAAGTGGTAAATTCGGACCTCCATATCTGCCAAGTCAACACTTTTTACCCCTTTTTGTTCGACTCCACTACACTTTGTTCGACCTACCATTATCGGAGAAAACACGAAATCGCATTCGTTCAATTAAACTTTTATCAAGATTGTTAAACATGACTGTGAGCACATCAGTCAATATGGCAGTTAGTTCATACATGTTGCATTCACATGAACTGAGATTTCTTCAGGCAAAAGACAAGATCGAAGCGACATTGTTTTAGGACTGAATGTTAAGCAAGGATATCGAGACCTGAATCGATATGAACAAAATGACAACAGTGCGATGAGAGAGTAAGCATTTTAATGTATCACAAATACAGTGCTCAAACAAAGCAATCACGTAAACCAGCAAGAGATACAGTAATAGAAGAAAAAATAGTGAGAAAGGCAATATATTCATCACATTGTGACGGAATGCCTCGGTGTGCAGAAGAATACTCCCTTAACACAGAAATCTTTGACTAAGTAATAGCGAAACAAATGCAAGTTATCCATTTATTAGATAAGAAGAGACCATTTATTATAAAATAGCGACCTCTCTATAACGGCAGCAATTTGGAAGGCAGTTATAATTATATGTGCAGAAAATTTTGTTGAGCATTTTGTCATACTTGATGCTCCTGCCGTGATACTTTAGTCGTTGTAGTGGTGATACCATTACGAGTATAACTCTCCTGAAAATATTACGTGTGAAGAAAGAGCCGAATGGATTTGGAATCTTATGGAAACTTACCTCACGTTCAGTTGTTATAGGCTTCCTAGTCACTGTCGTCCATTCGTCCTCTTGTATGAGTGGTCGAGACGCGCGACCATTGGTGTAGGAAGTTGTGGACTTGTAAGTTGATGGCTCCTCATACCGTTCTCGATTTTTTACACTGAAATAAACTGTTCAAGAAAAGCAAATCACGAATGACTATGTCAGCGCTAGACGTTATAAATTGAAAATCAACACCGCTTCCCTTCCCCTGTGGATCTCGGAACGAGCACGAAATAGGAACACTTTTGTTATGCTTTACAAAGAGTTACATTACATCACATGGCTAGCTTTCTTGTAAAACCTCAAGAGCAAATTTTCAAAAATGTTGTTTTCAGACCTCGATAAAGTTGGCTATTTCTGACTTAGCTGGACGCCAAAAGAACGGCTAAAAGAGCCAAATATCAAGGTTTGGATGTTTGAAAGTCATTGTTATTGCCCTCTAAAGGCATGATGAACAATTTGCACTTTTCTAGACAGCGGAAGTTCTCCAAACGTTCTGGTCTCCAACTGTCGTGTGACATAAATCAAAATAAACATCTTATCTGGTGCATAGGCAAAAGTGCATGTACGAGTACACACTAGTTTCCGTTCAACTTTATTTTTTATAATTCACTAAAATAAATCAAAATTCTTTCAAATGTAATCAAACAAGCACCGCTATGTGCCAGAGAAAAGCTAGAAAAATTATCACTTCTTCATAAAACAAATTCTAGCTTCGAACTTTGGCTAAACAGATCTAAGACTCGTAGAAACACCAGATCTACAGTATCCGAGATATCAAAACTCTGTATCGTTTTGGAGAGAATTGCCTCAATTTCACCAATACCGTACGTTTTTTGGTCTAGGAGGTTGCATGCTATCGTAGACATTAGCAGACTCTGACGGATTCTCATTCCGGACTTTTCTGCCATTTAAAGGACATTATGTATTTTTCAGAGCCTATAAATGCTGAGGAAGCACTCACATGATGTACGATATGATGAGGCAGAGGATGAGCAGCACTGCCACTCCTAGCAAGCATCCAAGAACAATAGTCCAGACTCGAAAAGCTGACGAGACTCCCTAAAATAGTGCTTAATGTACAATTCTGTACCTTTTGGAAAAAGCGTATGTTGCAACGTTCCTGTTGCAACGTATCCCTCATGATAAAACTGTCGGAATGTTATAATCATTTTGTAGTTCAAAAGATAGCAAGTACTCCAGTGGCCATTTCCAAAATTCCCCAAAATATTGAATCAGTATCAAACCGTTTCAGATCCCAAAAACGACAACAAAGCCTTCTTATGCGGAATGAGTGCATTAGTGATTAGAACATCATATGATTTGCCCTTTATCGCACACCTAGCCTAACTTCGCGAGTAGGCCCTTGATAAAAAAAAATGTATTGTTCATAATTCAGCATGTCGAGTAACCCTCTAGACCGATTTCCATTCAAATCGGAGAGTGTGACCCCATACGATACCACTCGACATTATCGTAACGAACGAATATTAATTTCGTAATCAGCATGTCAATGTCAAGTGACCCCCTCTAACGCCAGCGAAATATGAGATTTTCAGTTTTTGGAGTCGAATAATAATAATGAAATAATAGAAATAGTAATAAGATACTAAAATAGCCCAAAGAAATTCTATCGCGACCCTTTTTTTGAACAGTTAGGAGTTGAGCGGTAATTTTCGCTTTCCAGTAAAGATTTCTCACCGTGTAGATTTCTTGGACTGGCATGACGCATGTACCATTGAAGGAACTTCCGCTAGGAACACATAGCACACAATTCGTTATCTGAACAAGAGGTTTCAATGTAAGTTAATTGCCGCAAGACCCGATGACATCTAGAGATCAGACCTGTGCATTGTAGCTGTTGTAGGTGCAGTTGAGGTAATCTCCAGTGCGATTATTTGTACATACGACGTAGTTGTTTATAGCTGATCCCGTTTGACAGGTCATATCGCACATTTCTCCCATCATTCCGTTTATGCATTGCACATTCAGTACCAGTTGAAGCCTAAAGTAAACCGACAGTATTATTCTTAGCTAACTCTTATAAATTCATTATTTTTATAGTGCATCTCTCCTGTTTTTAGAAAGAGGCTTTTTCTTTCTCTTTTCACTCACGCCCGAAAATCCACAGAAGGACAACGAAGACTGAGTTAGAGTGCATTCAGTGCAGCTTTCGTTGCTTTATATAGTAGCCATATTTCAATACTATTCTTAAAAACTGTCGGAAAATGTTGGTTTCCAAAATTATCGCATCACTCGTGTTTAAGCGAAATTTTTATTCTGGGCTTCCCGAAAAAATTTTGGTAATAGGTAAGTAGTGTGCCAAACACTCAGGATCTTTCACTTTTGGAGATTTGGATCAATTAAATGTTCAGTTTTCATGAATCGACATCTTGTACAACATCTTTTCCACAAAACTGTCGAAATCCGATGCGAATGTTTAGTGAAATTTTGACAGTGATTTGCGATCTGTTACTTGACCGTACAACAAAGTGGGATTCTTCCACTTTCTCCTAAGCGGAGAATATAAGCCCTACTTCAACCCGTTACTTTCATCACATTTCCCCTAGACACCTCGAAAAACCTTCAGGAGGATTCATGTTGAGGACATCGATGTCGGATTTCGCAAAATATTCACATCTCCTCTAACTACTCTATCTTTTTATGATGAAAAAAAAAACGAAAATGTTTATATGTCGGCTCAGGTTTTACAAGATGGTTCCTCCAAAGACTCGTAAAAATGACAGCAAGGTTCCACTGCTATCGGGCTCTCTTATGGATGCATGTATTACCAGTTTCGGATAGAAACACCCAAAGGAGTTCGTAAGATGCAAGGTTCAGCCAAAAGCTGAGAATTCATGCAGAGAAAAGATTTTCTAGCCCGAAAATTGTAAGCAGCTACTTATATAATACAATTACATCTTTTGTTGAAGCATCTCAAAAGTTTCGATTGCCGTTTCTGCGGAAGACAAATGTACCTACACAAATAAATACAGTTTCTGTGACTATGCTCTTGATTCCGTAAGTTCTAAGCCTCATTTCTTATACAAAATCCTCTATCCTGATCATAAGTTATTCTTGCCGAGCCTCCCGCGCGGCAATGCCAAATAAAGAGCATGTTCATTTTTCCAGAATCTCCCACATTTTGCCTACTCATACAGTTACATTTTTCAATCATATGGCGAAAAACTGCTCACGCAGTACTAAAAAACTTCCTTTTTCTGAGAGTCGGCGACACCATCTTTTTTTTTCACTGACTCCACTATCTCTTCGTCTCCGGAAATCAAAAAAAGTGATAATCAAGCGATTACAATATTCTTTACACGTTTAATCGACTTATCAACAAATCGTAGATGACTCGGCGGGAATGTCGATTAAAAAATTGCGTATTTTGAAAATATAAAGAGCGATAGTGAGCTTCTCGTATAAAATCACCAAATGTAACATCATGTAAAAAATTTGCAGCAAGGTGTAGATGAATAGTTAGCACAGTAAAGATCTATATCAACAGTTTAGCTTCCTTTTTGGAAAGCAATGATCTAGATTTCATGATTCATTCTAACAGTCCACACGTGATAAAGTCTTATGGAATGTGCAAAGTCCATGATAACTTCACTCAGCTCAACGTTTTGTATACTTTTCCAGTTACAGGCTTCGAAATGAGAAATTGGGACTGATGCTCTTACTGCGATAATGTGCTTGTTCCATTCACGCTCACAAGATTCTATTTGGGAGCTGCAACCTCAACGATTTCAAAAAATGAACTTTCTCCACAAAAACGGGAGACTCAGAAAATATTATATTGACCCTAGTGAGAAGTTTTCTTCGTGTGCCGAGTTTAATGATGGAAATAAGTCTAGGAAAAATGATTCCTACCAAACCGGCACAATTCAAAAGATCATAAGAGCTAAATAACTATCTTTCTATTTATATATTAGGCCATTTCTAAAGGTCGTTCGCCAATTAAAAAATCATAACTTCCTTCCTTCTTGGTTTCATTTCTCGTTTCAAATTTTGAGAAGAAATCTTTTTCTTTACGAAAGTATTTTCGCCATAAAATGGCGTGAGAAAGTTCGAGAGTTGGAAGCAATTGAATAAATTAACTCAAGATTGGCATTTTTTAAGCTGGATCACGAAAAATTTCGAAAGTGTTATTATTCGATAGAGAAAATTGTGCTCTTTACTATAGTGCCTTTTCCACAAATTATAACGAAAAAGATCGAAACTTATAAGCAAATAAAGGGAATATTTCAGTTTTGCAATTTTTGAGCATGCCCAAAAAAGCCCAAAAACGTCACAAAAAAGGCGGGAAAGCCAAAAACAGGGGTTTTGTGATTTTCTCTTTCTAGCTAAAGGATTTTTGTGCTGAGGGAGAGCAATTTTGATTTTCACGGAAACGTATAGCAAATTCCTAAAAAATCATTACTTTTATAAGAACAGTCGTTCAACAAGGAGTTTGCGTAGCTAGAAAGATGAGAACATAAAACATATGTTTATGTTTGTTTCGGTATTTTTTGTAACGTTTCAAGATTTTTGGTGAGCTTTTTTGAAATTACCAAAATTTGAGTGGTCTTCTTTTTGCATTCTTAACTCTGCGACTTGTGCTTGGTAGAACGAATTTAAGCCATTGTCAGAAACCACGTGATCTCTTCATTCTAGTAAAAATTATTCCAGGCAAATCTAGGCAGATAGCAGAGAATTACGATTTTTTAGAGAACAATGCGAACGAACTTTTGAAATGACCTAATATTTCATTCACTATCCTTTGCTCTTGTTCGTTGTTCTATCGCTGTTGTAATATAGCGCATAAGCATTCCTATGCAATAACTGATGATACCGGAATGAGTGAAAAAAATTTGCGAGTACTTACTGAGTTCCCAGTTCTGTGCCAGTCAAAGTCAGCGATTGTTCTCCCCCGGTACTGCTTTTAAAGCGCGATAAATCGACAACGAAACAGTCAACCTATAAACAATTTTCCTTTGAACTTCCTTTCTGCTGCACTAAACCAACCAGCTGCAGTCTGCCAAAGTACAGTAAATTTCCTGTCGCTCTGTCTATGGACACTCCTAAGTGCTGCACAAAAACGTCGATAGCAACCTGTAATATTCATCACTAAGATAGTTCTAAAAGTTGACTAACAATTCTTTCTTTACTATGGTCTTCCTCTAACAAAAATGAGAGTTACCGGTTTGGCGATCATCTGGAATGTATGGGGATTGGTCCAGTTGCCAGTGGATATTGTTCCAAAGAAGGGATTGAAGTCTGATTGTATATATTGCACGGACTGACTATAAAGGAAAAATCTCAGCGCATCTTCAGTAAAAGTTCCCTTTTATTGAATGGAGGTCAGCTTTAATGCTAACTATTTTGCTACAGAGTGGAGTATCAATCAAAGTTTTGTGTCAAAAATCCCAAAGAATAGCAATTGCAAGTATTGTACGAAAAGAAAAACCCGCGCGAGCATTCTGAGTGGAGCGGATTTATATTTAACTCATAACCTTTGCTAAGTTGACTGGCTAGCAAAGTAGGAAGTGAAGAAATTCGAGGAAGACAGATGAAAATATTAAAATTTTGTGCAATGAAAGCTAATCATTGAACGAATTTGCGGAAATTAAAATAGAAAAAAAGAACAATACTCAATATTCAACATTGAACGAATTTCCGGAACCGGGTAGCGCACTTTCCATTATTTTTATTTGTGATATGGAGAACAGACTATGATGAACTAGAGTAAATTTTTCAACAGGCTGCAGAAGTCAATATTTATTGATTTGATGATTAACTGCATTTTTGACTTTTCCGTTTTGTTTGATAGATATTTGCGGATTCGATTTCCCTTATTTGCATTATGTTCTTTTATGGTTTTTCTTCTGCACTTGCACCATGAACCAAATGTATGCACTTGCGACATTGTGTGCATATGTCTCAGCAGTATCGATGGAAGCATAGCCGTCTTATCAGTTTAGTCATAAATGGCTCTGCCAACATAGGCACCGAGAGAAAATATTTGTGATATCGATCAAGTTGCAGATGCTTCAATATGTTACCAACTGACGGAAATAACCACAAAAAAAAAACTTTGCGGAATTCGCAACTTGTAACTTTTCATCGCAAAAACGCCGCCTTTGTACGCAAACTACTCATAAGACGGCGTCTGTCACAAAGGCAGCGTAATCCTTGAGGCAGATTATAGATGACAGGACAGAAATAACGCAAACTCACTAAGCGGAAGAGATGACGGTGACGAAGCTGAACGAACACGCATTCTGCTGATTTTGTGGAAGGTAATCACAATAGCTGATCGGACAATTGCACGTGGTGGTGTTCGTAAGCGCCATCGTCGGATTTTGGTACGAGGTCAGCCGGATCTGCACTTGGGCGCCGTTTACTGTCGATGCACTGAATGTATCCTGAAAGAAACGTCTCATTTATGGCATAAGCATAAGTGTGCCGAGTGGAAGCCTAGGAAAAGGAAAATGCCGGAGTAGAAACTTGGGTACTTAAATACAGCGAAGAGTCGATGGGGGAGCTCAATGAGAAATCTTTGAGTAAAATATAAACAGAAAATTATTCAAGGTTGAAAAAATAATGAAGGAGCAATGCTGTAAATGACTTAAAATGATCTACAACTGCAGAGTGCATCAGTTGAAAGGTGGAAAACAGAAGAATGAAAAGTAAAATGCAGAATTGTTAAAATCTTTCTTAGCACAGGGGAAAAAGTTTTAGGTTGATGCGTAGGTCTTGCATGAGAATAGAGAAAATTCATTTTGAAAAAATTTCTCAAAACTTTCTCTTTTCTATCATACACTTCTTAATACGAAGGTTGTATCCTACACAGATTTTTTTTAGATCTTTTATATGAATGAAAAAAAATTTTTTCTCAAATAATTCAAAGATATTATATTCAGACATTCGATCAGCATGAGCTTTTCTCAGGTAGAAAGAGTAAAACATAAAACAACCAAAATCGGAATTGCACTCAGAATGAGACTTCAGCATTAGCTATGAAAGAAGGCATTCTTAAGCATTTTTCTTAATTAGCTTGTGTCGTTGCATATGCCATCAAGGACTTTTGATTCAAGTACTCGCACTGAATTAAACGACTGCTGGAACTAAAGGAGATTGCAGATTTTCGGAAACTTTGGTCCAAGATCAATGCATCACTCTTATCAAAAATGTAAAAATTTACCAGTCTTTGTGGTGTGTTCAGAACAATTGCCGAGCCAGTACGTAGAGTTTGTTGCTGAACAGAGATGTATTAGATGAGACAAACACGAAAAGCAGAAAAAGACCAACTTGCTGATTGTATAAGCCCATCGCATTCCCATTGTACTGCTGCTGATAACCGCCAGCTTGCTGAGAGTACCTGAAAAGATCACCTAGATTTGTGAAAATTTTCTCTTCCACTTTCAATTCACCAAGATTTTCGAACTCCTTACGTTTGTTGAACTCGTTGTTGACTAAATTGCTGATTTTGCAACGTTGAAGGTGGTGGCGCATTAGGTTGCTGAACACCTTGCTGTCCATAGCTGCCTTGTTGCAAGTAGGAATACCTAGAGTATGAATCATTACGTGAATACTGTAGCAAGTGTTTGCTTATCACTGCTAATAGGGGAGAACAAAAAGCACAAAGGAGTGAGAAAAATGCAGAACACAAAAAAGTAGACAGGTTGAATATGTACAAATTTCGCTCTAGGAAAGTTGATAAAAGCGTCATCGGCTGGATAGCTATAGATCGCTTCAGTGAGGAGCATTCTTTTTGATTGACCATGCAAGTATGATACGGAAAGATTGAGATAGAACGCAAAAAAAATCATGGATCCAGAAATTCCTGTGAAGCTGAGCAGAACTGACGCTCAATCGAAAGCGACTGATAAGCATGAAAACTTTTCCAGTATGAAGCATCCGAGAGAGAGAGGAGTCGAAGAAGAAGCAAATTTGGGTGTGGACTACTGAATTTTGACTATCTATCACTAATTCTACATTCACAAGGAAACTGTCACATGCCTCCCATTCGGTAGCTGACATCCGGTACAGATCACTTTTTCTAGGAATTGGGAAGCCCGATTATTTACCCTGAAAACAGGTTCACCTACACCGGCGTTGTCCAAATTCGTTCGAAAACGGATTACTGTAGGCGCAAGATGCAGAAGTCTTAAGTCTGGATTTCTACATTTTTTGAGCTCATGCGCGTTGAACTGAATGCGAGGTAGGATTTGCACATGGAATAATATACTAATTTGTCATTAAAAAACAGTATGTGTACGCAATGACGTACAATAATCTCAGTCACAGAAATACGGTAGGATCAGTGAAAAAACGTACCTTGACTGTTGATTTGTTGGCTGCTGATACTGTGCCAATGATAGATCGAATAAAACGATGAGTAGGGAAAAACAGGGCAGCGCACGCATCGTACAGTCTCACGGCGACAAATACCTTATCGAGCAAACAGCGGCGAGCCGCTTCGACGGTGAAAAGGTGTGGGTGGAGGCTCTCTACGTCTCTCTGTGCTTCACTATTCTGAAGCTGATCCGTAGTCCACACGACCTTTTCGCTGATGGTCAAAGTTCACGCTGACTAAGACCGAGTATGAAGCGGCTATCACAACCTACGCTCTTCTCAAGCTCCCAGTGAGTAATGGGACCTTGCAGCTTACTTACAGTGTAGATTGAGGAATTCTGGAATGCTTCGGAAGAAGTAGCTGTTCCAGAAATTCGTGCTAGCTCCATGCGTCATGCTTTTTTACGGCCTTTTCCTACAAAGCAAAAGATGGTGCCTGCAGTCGGAGAATCCTACGAAATGACTGGAGCAAAAAGCTTCTAACTAATCGTCATCTTACTCGCAACCTATGGAAAGCAGCTTGACGGATTCTCCTACACTTCTGTAGATATGACGATCTGCAGAAGGCGAAGATCGAAAGGAAAAAGTAGTATAGAAACTGGACTTTGTCCGATATTCTTTGGTGCATTGAAAAAATTCTCAAATCGTTTTCGACTGATATACACGGATTCACGGTTCCTGCAGTTTTTTACTACAAAATTTTGAAAGAAAATCAACGCTTGCAAAATAGTGGATAACCTGCAAGTTAGGGGCAACTTCTTTGCCGCCGTGTGTCCTTTGCCCAAATCTCAGAAGAGCTAATAAAAAAAGATTTATATATGGGCTTTAGGTTCTAACGAATGCTTAGTGCATGCGTCAAAGATAACGAAAGTGATTAACTCAGCTGCGAGAACCCTTATTCACGACTCTCTATCAACTGTGGGTCGGGCAGCAGTTCGAACCAAGCTATAGACTGTAGATGACGTTTTATTCTTCATGTGCAGGCTTCCAGTAGTACTTGTTAGCCTTTCAAAGAGTGATGCTGTTTCTTGATCTTGTCAGGACAATTCAAATTGGTAATAAAAATAATTTGCCGAGATCACCACAATTAAAGTCTCGGCATCTGAGTTCACAGAGACTTGGCCAAAACCTCTTTAGCGTTCGTTTTCGATGTATTTGAGGTTGCATGCGCGACCGGGTATGCCATGTCAACAGTGCGTATCGTCGTCACATATCAAGGCGCTAGCATATCGTTAATCTTCACTTGGCAAACAATGCACATTGTATGTGTGGGGCGATGCCGACGGAATCGCACAATATGCTTCTAGGTGCCGTGTCAGGTATTAGCAGGTTTGAACGTTGTACTCTTCATCATTCAGGGGTCCATCGGCTTCCAGTTCAGATCTCAGTGGAGGTTTCGCGATTTATTGCATTCTAAAGAATGTCGTCAAGAAAACTGTGGAGGAAAGAGCTGAGCAGTTTCACGACGCTGAGGGCACTAAACGCTTGAGCAATTTTTGATCTACTTCACTAGCAAAACCACCGGAATTCCGGCAACTTAAGGGTTTTCACAGTATCCATTTTGCCACATTTCATACGCACATGTTTAGCTAGTGCTAACTCCCACTTCACCAAGCTTTTACAGCTATAAAATAAACTCCATGATTTTCTTTATCTCATTCTTGAGAACATTTTCGCTCATTTTCAATAGATTAGACGGAGAAATGTAGCCGTTTTTGGTGCCATAATTTCTTTTGAGATAACGTTTACGAAGTTCAGAATTCCAATAATGAGCAGAGGTGCCATCTAATGTTGGATATTTCGATGGACGGGAGAGTCCTGGTAATTTCTCAGAAATCACTAGCTTTACTGTCCGTAGAATGGAGATGACTTAGCATGTTCTTCCAGTGAAGCCTTCCACCTTATAAGTTTTGCTTGACAATCGTGGTTTGTAGTAGTCTTTCAGGAAAGATTAATAGTCATTTTTCAAAACTATCTGCTGGAAGACGACAATAATTTGCTTACAAAAATAGAATCGACGAAAATCTCCTGAAATTTTATGATCAACTAGTCGAAAAGGTTGAGTCGCACATAAAGAAGGATTTGTCTACGGGAGAGAAGAAAGATGCCAGTGTATTCACTGTTCATCAGAACCAACGCTCCTAAAGAGCACCTTTGAATTTGAAAAAGAGTTTCATGTCACATCAAAGAATTGTCGAGAGGGTAAGTTACTTTATCAGAAAAAATAGTAGGTAAGCGTCGGTCATACCTCGCGCGATTTGGCGTTGCTGCGATCGTTTTGATTTTTTGTAATACTTTGTGTAAAAAGAATTTGTAAAAAGAATTTGCAAATTTGCCTCGGCTTACAGGAGCTCTCAATACATCTGAAATCAGTGAGCTTTGAATTGTGGGGATCTGGCAAATTGCCAAACAGTGTGACGAAAGGGACTTGGCGAAATTTCTTGATGGTTGACCGATGCCACATAGAACATCTTGAGCTACATTGTGAAACCTTCCTCTTCACCATTCTAGGTTTTCATATATCGTCGATTCATTCTAATTTAATATGGTTTGCTTAGCGTGCGGCTATTCGACGAACTTGCAAGATTATATCTTGCTAATTTCCAGTAATTTCTTTTGCCTCTTTGTCCCTTTTATTTTGATTTGGATATGTGTCATTTGGTGGAACACATTCTTATGGCTTGTTACTCTGAAAAGGGTTCTACCGTGGAGTTACTATTAATGGTGCTGTCGATTGCCGCGTGTAGTGTGCAGACTCACAAATTATATAGTAAATTGTGGCTAGCTCAAAATAAAGATTCGTCGACTCATTAGCAGTAATGACTTACTAGATGACTTGCCGAGGACGACCATAGCGAGCTTAAGAAAATATCTATTTTATTGGTTATGATTAGCACAGAGGTGAGGAGATGTAGCATGTGGAGAAGCAAAGTGAGGCCGTAGCACGAAAATTGACGTAAACCAGTATGGTTAGTTCGATATGTGTAAACCCGTGTAATGTAGATGTGAGCAATCCAAGACCTCCGTTTTGTGTCTCATAGTTCACGCGACGCAACAGTGTTCCACAATAACATTTCAAAGTAGAGATTTATACATGATAATGTGCAGAACAATAAGCAATATTTGTAGCTATTTATTCCTCTAAAGGCTGAGTATGAGATCATCCCTGTTCTCTCTGTACAAAAATTATCTCCTATAACAAACGAAAAATCACTCGAATAAAGGCCCGGCGAAAAACAGGACAAGCATAAAATTCAACGAGACCTGCCACTTTCGGAGGCTTTTGAAACAAGCATAAGTGAATGATTCAATGAAAATATATGTTTGAGCTGTAAAAATACTCCCGCATTTGGCACAAAGACTAGTTGATCGTCGAATGTAGAGACTGTACTCATTATAAATGACACAATCGATCAACGGGTCTTCAAAAAAAAAATGACACAGAGAATCCAGATCACATTAAACTGAAACAAACAATCATATAGGCAATGTTGCGCGAATGTGCAAAAGTTACCCTATTTCCCGATGAGGGCTACGAGGTCGAAATGAAAGCTTGCACTGATTATGAAAAATTTGATGACTATTCAAGAGAACAATATGCACTTATTCATCCAAAAAAGCAGAACGGAGTTTCAGAATCCGAATCTGCGAAGCATGGAAGACGCACCAAGGGCAGAAGATCTTGAGGAGCTGCGCTAAACCGCAAGGACGCATTTTCCCGGAAAATTTCCGGAGACAATTCAAAGAAAGGGGGACGCTTCCCTGCGATGTAGTCCGCTCTTACAGGCACCGTACCGAGGAAAGAGCAGTTAGCTAGTGGTCAAGATTTTGTATCTTTTTCCATATATCCATATACTCAGAAAGCACTTTGTTCAACCAGACACGGCACTTCCGAGCCGCTTCAACGGTTTTCTCAGGTGAATACTCCGGATGCTGTGTGCCAATCACTTCCAACTGTAAAATCAGTAAAGATAAAAGGTGTGCAACTCTAGAATGGACATTCAATCTTTACCTTGTCTTCGCACTTCTTCAGAAGATGATACTTCATATGATAGCATTTGTGGTATAGTTGAGCGGTATTAGCACATGATGGACAGACGAGAAACTCCTGAAAGAAATAATATTATTATCTTTAAGCGCCAAGAGTTTCGAAAAGAAGTTCAAAGGCACCGTCCAACCAAATTTTGTTTCTTAACATTTTGACGCAGTATAACAGCGGGGCCCCCAACTAAGTAATCGCCGAAGTCTCGCTGCAAATCGCTCCAGAAAGTGGAAGCGATCCAGGCAGCACAGCTTATCAACGTGGATGGTTTGTAAATAATAAATTCAAAACTGGCTTTAATGTATCTAGGATTGTCATGACCATCCTTCACTATAATTATCACAATTTTGACATTCCTGTCTACCTTGAAGCCCAGTTTTGGACTATCTTCAGACGCCTACGTTGATGAGCGGTGCCGCCGGGGCCGCTTTCACCTTCTAGGGCGGTTTTCGCGCTACGGAATTCCTTTTTGCAGTGAGATTTGAGCAATTACTTAGTCAAGGGCCTCCTAATCTAAGCATTTGAATCTCATCAACCTCAGTTTTGAATCGACGGTGCATTTGAGCAAAACTCTGGCCGAAAACTACTCACAACGGCCGGCAAAGGGCTAGAATCAGCTGGAGGCCTCTCCGTTGGCTGCAACGTTTCTGGATCGTACGAATCCAGAGAATACAGTTGTATGATCCGCTCTATGGGCTTCAAAGCACAGCACTGAAACAAGATCAGCTGATTAGAGGACAAGTATCAGAGTTCAAGATCAAGGAGCTCTGCACGTGTGAGGTTTAGTCGATTTGTATCTTTCTATTTGTGGATGTCACACTATCTACTTCGCGCGTAAACACCCAGAATGATCGTTTTGAAGGATTGAGAAAAACCTTTTCCACTTTTTTGTTTGAGACGTGAAAAGATAATACTATGAGAAAAACCCTGAAATAGCACTTATACAGAAGAGTTGCGTCCTTAGGGCTGCGTCCAGAGTTGCCCGTGCCAGCGCCATGCCAGAGTCGTGCTAGCGCTTTGCCGAAACGTCAGCGACCATTAAGAGGCACGCACGTGGGTGAGCTACCACGGCGCTGACTTGGCGCTGACACAGCTTCGGCACATGCGCAACGAGCTCAAGGACATCCGGGATTTCACGCACGATGTGGGTGGCGTGTGTATTCACACATACCAGATATGAATGACATGACCGTACGTACCTGGCATTGTAGAGAGTGATAGTCACTTTCAGTGATACAAAGCTGAGTGTAACTATGCATGGCGTCCTCCAGTCTATCGTTGAACTTGACCAGGCCACGAAGTTTAGTCAAACTGTCCGAGTTCACCTTCTCAACTTCTGCCACAGCTCGCAAGAAATTCCAGTCTATGAATATCCAAGTTTATTTTAGATTGGCTCAACAATGCTTGTCGCACACTTACCATTTTTACTTTTGATCTGTTGCAAGAATTCTAGCGTGAGAGCATGACTGATCATGGCAAGAGTGAATGTATATAAGGACAGTCGAAGAGGATCTCGCAACATTGTGACATGATCTTCAGGATCAGTCGAAGTCTCGTCTGGAAGAAAGTTACTAGAAACTAGCATGTATTACAATGAAGATCAATTTCAAAAGATTTACACGAAGCCAATGTTCCCTAATACTTGTTAAACTGGGAATCTATAGAGCAGAAGAATGATAAAAGTGGAAGAAGCTCAAAGCAAAAACGGCCACCAACCTTCTCCTTTCACAAAACCATTTGTGTCATTGCATTCTGAGGTCATTGCAGGAAAGAGATCAGAAATAGGAATTTCGGGCTGGATGATCGCTTCCGATCGTGTCTGCTTGATGTGTTTTATAGCGACACGGTAGTATCCAAAAGCGACTTGGTCACACCATCCAGAATACTGCAAGAATAAGGAAATATCATTATGAACCAAGCGTAGATCAAAAACCCATACCGTGCTGCTGTTCTTGTAACATATGTCCTTAGTAGCAGGGTCGATCCTAGGTGGATACTTTTGTATCATGTTCTGATTGTCGACCCTCCATAATGCACAGTCATCCCGGAATAGATCTGCTTTGCATACAACGAATGTTCCTTTCTGAAAAATAAAATTGAGGTACCAGTTCAGCAGAAAATATGCCACAGTGAATTTTACGAACCGGAAGATGCCCGTCAGCTGGTCCAAATTTCGAAAGGCGAGCTTTCACCGCCTCTGTATTGAAATCGTTTCTGAGACGATAGGAGTGCGACTTTACGTTGGTTTTATGCTCTCCTATAACAAAAAGTGGTTATAATAAATCGGCAGAGCAGATATATCAATTAGTAAACGCTTACCATTTTCTCGATTTTGACTTTCCTGACCTTCTTGCCACTGCATCATCAACCTCCTCTTCTTCGAAAACATGCTCACATCTATTCGTTCTTCCTCTATCCTTGGCGTCTTACCCTCCTCGTCATTATCTCTTTCCACTATTCGTACTTCGTACCTACAAGAAAAGCCATGGGTACTTCTGCATGACCTCACCCAGAGGTGCACTACTTACCCAGAGCTGCTCCCCTTCTCTCGTTTAATACGCTTTTTCCGTCTTGAACGATCGCTTCCTTCCCAGTCACTATCGTAATCCTTCTTCTTTCGTTTTTTCTTCTTCTTTTTCTTTGATTCATAGTAGCTTTCAGATGATCGACGAGGCAATTTGATTATTAGCTTGGGAAGCCGTGGTTGGCTTTCACACCTAAAAAAATGTACACATTCCTCGCTGCAAGGTTCGAAAAAGTGGGACTCACTCTCTCTTTATCTCTTCTGCCCGTCGATCAGCTCCTTCTTCCTTGGCACAGTCACTTCCACACGTTTGTTCTGTCTTTATGAATGTGCATACAAGCCTCTCCTTCTTTCGCCGACGAATCGACTCGGCCAAAGTCACGATTTCTGGTTCGGCTAACCTCGCTGAACATAGCCGATTAGGTTTTGTGAAAAATTCCCAAATTTGCGCAAGAAATCCGATAAATGATCAGATCTGAGCAGCTCCAACACTCACCGGCTGCTTGACTAGCCTCGGCATGCACAGATGGAGGTAGAAGGTTGGCAGCAGGTATAACAGGCCTATTCTCACCCGTCGGTCTCTTTTTCGGTACCACGTGCCTCCACAGGTCCTGCTGCAAAACAAAACTTAACCTCGTGTAACCACGCAAGGCTGAAGACTTACCTGCTGCTCAGGAGGAACCGCAAAACCAACGCCAGGAACGTAGATGTTCTTATTTCTCATCTCTGGATGTTGTCCAGCAATTTTTGAGAGTTTCTCACGCACCTGCAGATGATAAGTCCATATAAGTTCTCAGAAACTTTTCTAAATTACCTCTGCATCTAGCTTTTCCTTAGGATCAACTTGACCTAAACCAACGTTTTCCTCCTCATCGTCAAACGAATACGCATCGTTAGCGTCTGGAAGATCAACATGAACATTATTTTATGGCTGAAGTCACATATACATTAAATTCTGAAAAAATATACCTCCTTTTGACTCCTCTTTGACGTCATTTGATATCACAGAAGTGAATTTGCGCTGCTTATAAATTGGTATTTTATTGCATTTCTGTACAGGCCGGGTAACTAGCGGTTCCTTTTTGAAGGAAGATGGTGAAGGAGCAGCAATCGGTTTGACCGTGTCTAAATTTATCCCTTAGACAAGTCTGTATGGTAGGATTAACTACTTTACCTGTTTTCCGCTTAGAGCTTCCCGTAGGAGGAGCAGGCGTTTGTGAGGGAGGTGGAAAGGGTGAACTAGTGGTACTCGGTTGAAGGGAGGAGGTTGATGGAGCCACAAATAAACCCATAATATTCGGCTCCGGGGAGTCCGCTGAGGGTGAGTCAGGAGGAGTAAACTAAAAGCAAAAACTTTTTTCTCTAAATTTCATGAAAAGGCGGAAAATCTACCTGTACAGGACTAAGACTAGGATTGTTTTCACCGCCATGAAAGTCGAATGGAAAGGCATTGGTAGATGAGTTCTGATTCTCTAAGCTACTGAAGATCTGATCAAACTCTTGATCGGCAGTTGTGATTTCTGTGTGATTTGCTGCAGTTTGGGACGCAGAAGTGGCAGAACTGAAAGGTAACAGATCTAGTGATAAAATGCCGAACAACCTTCACGAATATAATAACAACTACAAGAGAATTCGAGTAGGTAAGTAAAAGTAAGATCAAAAAAAGGAAGGCATTGAAAACTTACAATGTGCCAGCTTTTTGCGACGATTCATGGAAGGTTTCCGGGAACAGATTCCCACCAAGCTCGAAAACGCTGGAGATGGCAGCATCGTTTTCCTTGGAAGACGTTCCCGTGAACAGATCCAAGTCGCCGAGATCTATTCCAGCCCAATTGTCGTCCACAACGGGCTGACCGCCGCCTTGAGATGTCGACGGTTGTGATTCCTACACGAATGGAATGTAGTTACTGGTAAGTAATCGTGGGTAAGGGTAAACCTACTGAGTGGTTGAGGACGGTGCCATTTTTGAAGGTGTTGGGTGGGCGGGAGGCGAACTCCTGCGCACCGCCGGCTTCAGGGGTTCCTGCACTAGGACTCGCCCGTACAGTAAGATCGTACGCTTGAGTCTGACTTGAGGGTTGGGACAGACCTCCAACGTCGATGTCATGGGGAGTAGAGGTAGATGGATGAGATGATGGGCCATTCGACATCGGTCCTCCTGCCGGGGAATTCTGAAAAGTATAATGTGAGGACATAATTCCGAGACATCTGAAAACGTAAGCAAGCAGTTTCCCAAAAATATTACCTGGGCTCCCAACACCTGCGGTGAGCACGAATTACTCGGAGAATTCCGTAAGCCCGTCTTCGAGACAGCCGAGGGAAATATGGATGACGACGTCGTCGCTGCTGTCGTCGTGCCACTGACTGGCGCTATACTTTGCTGGCTGATAAGCTCAGGCTGTGAAATATCCCTAAAATGAAGGAATTTTTGCTGGAACAATCAATGGGGCAGAGAAAATAGTGAATAGCTTACAATCCTTTGACTCCTGTGAACACTTGATACATAGGAAGCATTGCGGCGACCTTTGCCTAAAGCAAATTGGAAATAAGGATTAATTGTAGGCAGATTGAAAAAGTCATATTAGGATTAAGAAGAATTTTCTTACTCAACACCAATTTCTTGGAGAAAATGCGCAAAATATCTGATTATCGTCAAAAAACCTGCTGAAAGCTTAACTCACCGGATCGATCCACGTTTGTCCTGTTGATTGGGAGTTGGCCCATTGCGCAGCCCCGAGGGCCGAACCGGGTAGAAGTGGGGCCGATAAGCCCGACAACTGTTGCAGAGTAGACATAAAAGCATTCGTTCCCGCGTTTTGTAAGCCTAAAGAAAGATGGGCATGTTTCAGAGATTTCTAAGATGATGAGGTGCTGATTTTGAAGAAAAAGTGGTCTAAATGATCTGCATGGCAAAGCAGCGATGTGACCGAGAACTACTCAATGTCTGTTGTGGTAGCAACAAGTGTGAAATAGGGGCAAGCGTCAGACAACTAAACTTGAGGATGTAAACACGAGGGACCGAGACAGCGTCACACTGGAGCAAATTTCCAAAGCATATATTTGAAGCCTGATAGGAAGTTCACTTCTCAGAAATTCGGTATATATTTGAGCTCACACCGGTTCTTGCAAAAGTGTGCAGCGCAATCGCATAAAAGGGTGTCAATCAATTCTGGATATGAACTTTACTTAAAACTTATAACACTTACTTTCATTACGAAAAACTTGGCCATTGCTGTGCAGTCTTAGCGTACAGGGCAGCATAATTTGCTTCAACAGCAAGTTCCTCAGCAAAAAAAGAAACTACTAATAAATCAATTACCGTCAACAATTTTACTGATATAGCGATAAGGTGCTGAAGCCATACTCGCGCTTGCTTTTGTAAGTATCGGATAATCGAAGCCGGTTCATGTTGTGCCATTCATAGAGTGTATGTAACATATATTAAAATCGAAATATCCTGCTCACACAAAGCGAAGAAAGGAACACCATTACAAACCCTCACGTAAGTACACGCAAGTTTTGAATGCGAAATACAGTGAGAGTTCTTTGCAAAACCGATAACCCGGTAATCGTACGTAATGTAGGAGGACCTCAAAAAAAAACTTACAAAAGCCGTCATATGGCTACAGTAACACAAAAACGACAACCTATCATAGGTGTAGATCACTGAGTGTGATTGGTCAAATATAGAAGCGTTGAGCAAAAACCAGCCAATCACAGCGAAGTTCGGGTCAACACGTATACTACTGTCACGCGTTTCACAACTAACTAATGTTATCCAAAAACACTGTGAAGGGTGTGTGACTGTAAGCAGAGCCAATTCTATGCAGATACCTCCTTATTGGTTCGAGTTCTCTTAAACTAGTGAGAGATATGCATATTGAAAAGAACTGGAAAGTAAGCGAAAAATTCTACAAAGTACAAGATTGCTTGAGATTTTCACGGAGATAATAATGATGAATAGCTGTTTCGCAGTGGTGAATAAAATGAAAATGAAAATTACAACATTCGCTATGCAACAAAGTTCATAAAAGCTAGAAAGGGAAGAAAAGATGAGTCGGTTTCCTGAGTCACTGTTATTCAGTAAGAATATACAGTTCTAGTCGATATGGACTTAGCTGCGGAGTTACTCAGTAAGGTCGATTTCTATACAATTCTAGCCGATGTGGACTTAGCTGTGTGACTCTGGTTTTTTTTTCATGTGTCAGTGCTAATGCAGTCTAGCCCAGTACTAGTATGATTTGACATTTATCGTCATCCTACCCTGTGATTGCACTCTCTATGACTGATATCATATCAACAGCCTCGTTCTACACGCTCTATGTCGAAGCTATTACGTTTCTGATTATTGTAACTATCACTAACCAATACACTAAGTCGTATAACTTTGTTATCTACTATAGTATCCGAGCGATAATACTAGATATTACTCCTTCAATAAAATCGTCACATTAGAAGCTCACTCACCTATGCATTTACCGATTCGGGATTTGGCTATAAGGTCATGAATCTGCTGTAAGCAGCTATGAGCTTGAACAGTACAGGTAATTACAACAAAAAGAGTGCTTTGAATTTTAACAACTTTAATAGAGCAGAGGTATCAGTATCACGTTAGCTTGCAATGACTCATCGTTGCATCATCTCAATTCGTTCGGTGGTGAACGGCTTGATTTGTTGGAACATCTGCCAGCCATGTAGCCTGTGCCAAGACAGGTATGGCGTGAGATTAGCACTTTACTATATTCAATGTATGGAAGTGTCTCTAGAGCAGGTTTTTGTGGAGAACTCTCTCGGAACTTCCGCCTCCACGGTGGCCTCATTGTACTCACAATCTATCGATTGGCGACGGAACGTAAACTGGTTACTCTCAACTTAGTGTAGAGCGAGTTACGACGCAACGATATGCCAATGGCAGTAAGGACTTTTTCGAGATAGTCGGAATACAGCTCAGTAAAATAAACAAACGCATAAGTAGATAGACGAAAAACTACGGAGAATTTTTTTGGACTAGGTAGAAACATGGAAGAAGCAGGCTAGCATAGCGAATGGCAGAGTTTGAGAGCAGTATAGATAACATTGAACAGGAAAAGATGATAATCACAAGAACCAGTTAAGACAAAAAGGTACCAAAAGCCTCTTTTCCAATTATAAACCTCGCTTTGAACATGTTTTTCCTTGAATTAAGTCTTTCGAACCACTATCACACAAAATCATTATTTGCACAAATGAGAAACCACAAAGGAAACTTGTTTCCAAAATCTCTAAATAACGCAATCACAGAATGACTCAACCAGTGCGAAACTCAGTCGAATGTCAGTAATCGGCGGCTCTCTTGGTAATGAAAAATTGTGACAGCAACGAGTGTGCTGTAAAGTTTGTAAGCAAAGAACGTTTGAACAAGAGAGAAGGGAAGAGTTTGCAACACTTGGTCAAACCTGCAGATAAATGTGGAAATAAACAAAAAGGGCGCATATCGCGAGCGAATTGTATGTATGATTCAGCCTCTCATTGTGGGATTCTCTGCACTCTCGCTTTCCTCATGCACACACGCGCGTTCGCTCCTGCAGTGAATACACTGCGAAAGGATGACTCGTGCTTTGGAGAGAAAGCCGGCCAGGGCTGGATCAGGAAGTGCTCGGAGCAGCTCAGAGGTGATTTGTGGTGTTGATGCGTTTTGTTGGGCGAAATCCCATGATATCGTCAGTGCTAACGCCGTTGGGTCTCCTCGATCAATCGGCATGTGCAGTCCCTAGCGCTAACAATGGGATGTCACGCTATGCACAAAAACATCATATTAATGTCTCAAAGCAGCTGACTTTCATTACGCTCTAAGTGTTTCTAAGTGCAACGACGCGAGGAGAATAAAAGAAAAATCGCAGGGTGCATCAGTGGATATGAGCAAAAACTACGTATCTGCCTTGTAGAATATGGCAGATTTTGTTACATCTGTGGCAACGGCTTGTACGAGTTGTGCGAGGTTCATGCGAGCACGATAACGATGCGAAAGCGTTAGTTTTTGGCAATTTGGTGGTGACTGGACGGAACAAAATGGCTCAGAGGTGGTCTGCTTTGATCGTTTTGATTTTGGGTGACAGTGAGTGTTCTCGTTCACATCTGTGGAACTTGAGCACAGCGTTTTCGACCAAAACTCGGCCGAACACGGTGCGATATGAGAAATCTCGAGAAAGTGAACGAGTTCGAATTCAAACCTGCGAATGCCGAGGGAAATGAAGCAGGATGGAATCCGGGAAGAAGATGTTTGTTGTTGTGCTCCATCCCATCGGGAAATGGGAGGTGGTTGGTCCCGCACGATTAAAAACTGCACACCCCTGTGGTCGAAGCGAGATTGTTCGGCGTCGCAGCCAGTCACGATCGATTATCGCCGCGTCGCGGGCGCGTGGCGGCCACCCACAGCTGAGGGTCGATATTACTGTACGTGAGGTCGGCCCACCCACAGCTGCAACCTGTCTCACTGCTAGCTTGAGACCAGCCGCTTGCTCGCTGCTCTGCGTGTCGCTGCTTTGCTCCTCACCCTGAAGCAAATCGCCTAGAATCAGTGTGTGAATCCCGTTCTCAGCAGCAGAAAGATCTATCTTTACTTTCTCTTAGTGGTATGGCGATTAACCCTTTTTCGCTGAATTTCCAAAATCTGCGAATCCAGCAGTATTGGCGTAAAATTTGCTTGAAATAATTTGGTTTGTTTTTAAGAGCTCAAGGCGTCATACAAAGGAAAGTCAGTTTTGCTAGAGCGTCGGTGCTACTGGTGGCAGTTAGAACATTCTGGAAATCTCCCGTTCTGTCCTTTTCTTTAGTTTTTCATACATTCGCTTCTCAGTTTAGTGTTTGTGGTTAATATTTTCCCAAATCCATACAAAATAGCTATTTTCTTGCCCTTCAACACTTGGAATGTCCTTTAATTAAAATTCGCGGAGAAATGACATCATTAGAAATTCCCTTGCATCGACCCGTTTGAAGGATTGCTGTATGACTTGATTTTGAGAGAGTTAGTAATCTGAACATCGTGCCTTCCCTGAATCTGATATTTCTTTTTGTAATCTCTTTCGGTTCTTCTGTAATTATGTGTGGATGAATTTATCGGGAAGGAAAAGTGTTGAAAGACAAAAACTACCATTTTCGAGCATCACTCTTAAGTTGTTATTGAAGACAATCGCAACGGTAACAAATGATTTCTGAATTATGGATTTTTCGACGTATTTTCGCGATTTACTCTTTACCATAAATGGATGATTAACATGAGTTTTTTTTTTGGTTTCTTTACGGCATAAAATCTCGTCAACAAATGTTCATTGTGATTTGGCATAAAAAAAGAGAATAAAACAGTAGTCATGATGGAACAATTAGGTGTGCTCGGCTGCTCTTTATGCACATGGAAGGCCATAAATTCTACCGTCGATACCTCTTTCCGCTGTTTTTTTTTTCTCGCATCGATATGTTTCAAAGTCGGCTATATCTGTAGTAGTCATGTACAAGGTTAGTGGAAAGGTTTTTCGGTTCAAAAATACTTGAGCCCGAGAGCCCATCATCATTCAGCAACCTTTTGATAATCTAAATATGGAGTTTTATGCTTTTTCAAACTTGGTCCTACTTCTTGAAATTGCTTGCAAAATTGGAGAATTTATACCATCGTCCATGAACTACAAGCTCTGTTCATTTCAACTCAGCTGATCGAGAGAATGTTTCCTTATTTGAGCATTTATCTTCAAAAATTGTATACGGTCTGCTTTCTCTCACAAAATGGTGATAAGGGCTTGCACTGCAAAGATACCAAGTCGCACTGGCAAATGGAGATGTATATGATTTGTTTGATATCAGAAGCGCTATAAATCTGCCCTTCTCGTCCGCTTGGGATAAGTTGTGAGGTACTTGGAAACCTAATTTGTCAAGTGTTCAGCGACAATTGGTAACTAAAGCCGTTTAGAAACACTATTGCGTTTCTAAACGGCTGCTGGGTGCGCTCTTCTTGTATTCGGTGTACTCGCTACCATTTTTTAGAGTGAAACATAAGTTTGCATCAAAACCGTAATCTCCTGTAATCCAGTGAATCCGTTTCAAATAATTGAGTTGAAGGAGCATTTCCCAGTCGCTGGAAGCATGATTTATGCTTTTCTTAACAGGGCTCGGCACAGGTGGCTTTTAAGCAGGCTGGTGTCGTTTTTGGGACAAAAAGCAAAGGGGGTTTCGTTTTTGTGGCCGAAAATACGCAAAAACCGACTGTTTTTGGTCGTTTTTTGAAGTTTTTTTTTGGGTTTTTAGAGGGGATATAGTCGAGGGTCAAAGGCGACTTCATAAAATTTTGCGAAAGTCAAGGGGAACTTCGTTTTTTGCATTTTCTTTGAAGCACAATTTGTATTTTCCGGTGATGTTTAAAGGTCCAACAACCTTAAGAATTATTATGGTTGGGGTTTCACTTACTCCTTTCAATGAAGTTAATCTCGTGCTGATCGGACCTTCACGATAAGTTGAATTTCTATTTTTGGTTTTCTTTTTGAAATGCAAACTCTCCTGTTTATCTAAATATATATTTCTGGTTTTGGTTTTTTGGAATGCAAGTTCTTTTGTTTATCTAAATATATACATGTATATTATGAGACATCATATTTGTTACACCTGTAATAAAGTTCTGTGTAAGACAGACAAGGTTCTCTAAACATCTCTTGACCGTTTTTTATTTTTCTGCACTTGTTTATAACCCATGCTCATAGGGAAACTATACATTATGATTGGGAATGCAGTAAGCTCATGCGTTCTGTTTCGTAGATAAGTAAACCTGTCTGAAATTGTCGTTGGCGCTAATTATAATATACACTTCTTCCCGTTTTGTTAATAACTTGGTACTTTTCCGAAAAGGGAACGTTAATGACGAACTGCTGACTGTGCTTGGCTGTCTTCTGTACAAATAGTCCTTTCTCTTGCTTTTACTCTGCTTTGCACAGGCGGCATTCTCAGTAGTGCTCAGGTATAAATAACAATGTATTCTCAGTCATTTCGATCTGATTTTCTGATTTATTTTTTACATGAACTCGCTCATTTGGTATATGAGATCTTCTCCTCAGATCATCCTCATTTAAGATTGAGATAACTGTGAGCCAGACCTAAAAGGAAGGCTGCAAAAGGGTTTGATCCAAGAAGAAGTGGCATTGGCGTTAGAAGTGTATATACTTTGTATACGAAAGATATACAACGCCGAACATGACTTAGCATAGTAAACGTTCGTTGTTTTCACATCAGCTGATCCCCTTAGAAGTCTCCTGAAAGATTTATGACTGCTGATTTCCATCATAATTCTATGTTTTGTATATAGCTTGTTCTCTTTTGAAATTTCACCATGTCAATTTTTTCCAAGTTGTCACCCCTTTTGTATAACACCTGATAGCTATGTATTTGCGTATGATTTTTTCAATTTGCAATTCCACAAATACACCTTGCAGGTATGATGTTGAGGGTAACATACAGAATATACTGGGTTGGGACAGTTGTGACGCACCATTTTAAGAAACTCATACATTTTTTACTTCTTGATGGAAATTCCTTGCTGTTAATTCTGTTCAAAGGAAGAATTTATGTTCTCACAATCAGATGCTTTATTGGCTTTCTATCATGCATAGATTGCATAGATAGGGCTATGGAAGAAAATCAATCAATTTTCGATCTTTCTGAGTTTGGTCGTAATCTTGCGAAAATTCCGAACAGTCGATTTTGCAAGTTCTATTATCTGCTCCTTATAATCAAACAAAGTTTGCGTGGATTTATTGTATGAGAAGTTTTGACTCTCGAGTAAGTAGTACAAAACATCAGATTTGAGTTTTTTTGGTTACCACAAGAATTACTTTCCATAGAGGCAACCAATTTGCGAGACTTTGTTTACTTTGAGAAAGAAAGAGAACCTAATAAAATCGACTGCTCTTCCTATCGCAAGATCTAGATTTTTTACGACCAAACTCAGAAAAATCGAAATTTGAGTGATCTTCTTCTACAGCCTCTATGTATGCAAAACAGAAAGCCACTAAGGCCCCATATGAACATGATTTCTTGTACAAAATTAACAGCAAGGAAATTCCGAAATAAAAATGTTATGAATTTTTGAAATGGTGAGACCGAAGTTTCGTTTCAGCCTAATATATAAGATGTTCTGCATATGTTCCTGTATGCCTTCAATTTTGATGTCTACTATATTAATGTACACTTTTTCCACCATGGCCGTTTCTCACCTTTTAACGGTTGTTAGTTATTTCCGTCAGTTTCTTGGAGGTCCTAGTCACTTGAATTTCCATAAGGTTTACTGCGGGGATACGACGCCAAATCCAGAGCAAATTCAAACATTTTCTTGCCTTTTTCTCCCACTGTTCCTGCACAGTTTGTGCCCTCAATTTTTGCTATTCCTTATTTTATTAGGTCAACGTTTGCATATATTCATTCCACTATCTTATCAACGTTGCATATATTCCGTTTGTGATTATATATGTGTAATGACACATCAATTTAACGACGTATTATCAATCGAATAATGTAGAAGTATTACCTTGGAGGCTTGTCTCTATATTAGTAGAGCAGGACAAATTTTTGTCTATCCTGCTGATTGATTTGTCTGTACTCATTTTTGTCGGTCCTAGTTTAAGTCTGTTTTGTTCCTGTTGTTATTATTATTATCATCAAACATGAAAGAATTGATTGACAACCAGTACGGCTATGACATCGGTCATATTTTACCTACTATGCACGTATGTTGTTTCAGTGGCGTTTTAATGATCTCATGTTCTACAATCTCTTCGTTTACTCAATAAAGTTTATTTGCACTTGCGAGATCGAATGATGTCCAGCAATGACTAATACGCAGTTCGCTGTAAGTTGCAGTAACAGTCACAAAATAGTACAAATACGAGTTTACGCAAGGCATGCACTGCAGATTGTTAGAAATATCAACCGTTTGATCGTAGGGTTGCCCTTGACTCAATGTCTCTCACAATTCCCAGTTCCTCTATATACGAAATGCTGGCTTCGACTTGCTACTTTCATAGTGTAAAGCAGATTACCGATCATTCTGTATTTCATATACGGTAAAAATTTGCGATCGATACGCATTGAGGGTATATTGCTCTAAATTGGAGCCAAAAATTGCGGAAACCTTGTTGCTGACTTATAATTAGTCGCTGGTACTAGTTATAAACTAGGAACTAATCCTTTGCTGGGTATGATTAAAAATCAAGCTATTTCACCATAAGAGCTGCTTTGGTGTTCAAAAATCTATTCTATCAAAATAAAACCTGTAGCAAGTTGCTTTCTGCTTGAGTGAGAGCAAGGAAATAAATCCAAGATGA